AAAAGTAAAATTTCATACTTTAAAACCTGGAGATTTTGTTTATTGGAAAAGACACCTAAAAAAGGATTCCATCCAGCCATGCTCGAAGGGCCCTTCCCAGGTACTGTTGACAAACCCATGTGCTGCTAAACTGCAGGGTGTAGACTCTTAGATACATGTGTCACACTTAAAGAAGGCACCAAACCCTGACTCAAAAAGCACACAGTCTGGTGGCTTGAAAGTAAGGCTGCCAAAATTTAAAGCAGGTGACCTCTAAGGAGATGAGTTACCAAATCTTTCTGGTTGTTGACTCTATCATCAAGAACTTTGATCTGTTTAAGATAATAATGGTCTCTGTCTCATCTACAGCTTGAGCTCCTGGTTTACACCTACCATATAAGCTAGGTTGTTCTATTCTACCGTTAATGCTTACTGTTTTTAAGCTTTGCTCCTAATGTCCGTCAACTCTGGATACCAGCTGCTCCTGATTCATGCACTCTCTCCTTGATGTAAGAGATGACACCCAGAGGAGGTCCTTCCTGACCAAGTGACAAAAGGCTGAAGACTGGAAAACCTGAACCTGAAGACCTGGCTGTTGATCAATGATGCTTTTAGAGAAAAGATCTTGAAAAAAGGGGGAAATGATAAAAGCGAACTGGCACTTTAAGAAAACTGACCCAGGAGCTGGGAGGACTATGGGTGGAGCTGGGTTTCCCGTTACTCTCTAGTCATGACTTCCTGTTAAAACTTTATGGTTCTAAGATACATTAAAAAAAAACTTTATGGTTCTAACTTCCTGCAGGGGAGATATACTTGTATATAGGGGACATCTTGGGAGAGGGGTGGGACATTGTACGTGGGCGCCAGCCAGAGGTGTGCGTTCTCACACTGCTGTGGTGGTTTTGCTTTTTCCTTTTCCCGAATAAATCCTCCTTTTGGCGGACTGCCTGGAAAACTATTTTGTCCAGTTGACAAGACTAACACCCTTGCAAACTTTCCCAAAATAATTGCAAAGGGAAATGGCCTGTTTGACTGCTGGATATGCCACATGCAGCCTAGAAACACTCTTCATCTGCCCCAGTTCAACCTGCCTGTTTTAATCTCAGTCTTACCTTTCTTTCAGGGGTCCCCAAGTAATCCCCCAACAGCACTACCTTGGTTGTCAGTTTAGATCCCTCAGCTACATTTCAAGCTGCATTCATCTCACTCCACTAGTTAATTGGTCTGATACAACTGGGGTCAGAACCCTCAACTGTACATCCACATCTAGCCTTTGTCACTTCTGTACATATCGAGAAGGAGGCTACCTCTTGTCTGTCTAGTCCCCCTATTAGCCCATTACATTTGACATTTCTAGAAGGGACACTCCAAATACTACCTTCTGGTGTCTAGCTAGTCACAAAGCTCATGATGGTAGACAAAATGCAAGCCCCAGGAATTGGTTCACATACTAGGAGGGATTGACAACATCTTGGAAACTTTACTACCTACCTCCAAGAGCAAGAAGGGTACCGATGGGACCCAGGGATGCTGGGCTGGGGGGAGGCCTTTTATCTCCCCAATGCATCATAGCCCCTCCTTGGGACCCAGGTGTGACCACATGGTTTAAGCCCTCCCACATTGAGCTTATACTGTCCCCCCACCCCCACCCCCAGGTATTTATTTCTCTGTGGTCCTCCTCAGAAAGAACTACCCAACAAAAAGTTGCTAGGTGAGGTCTACTGCCATCCTCTTATCACCCTGGCTACCCATGTATTGACAAGTTTCAGTTTGAAGGACAATGTGCTTTAGGGTTTTTAGGCCCTCGGGGCATATCAATCACTGTTCATAGCATCACTTAACCCCCAAGACAAATGGGCCGTAGGACTCATTCTAGCCAGTATTGGGGCTGCCGTTGGTCTAGCAACCCCCTGGGGAGAATTTGCCTATCGTGAGGCTACTTTTACCATCCTAACAAGGTCATAGCTGCCTTAGCTCCCGACATCAAAGACACCCTCCAGAATCTCCAGCGGTGCCTCAATTCCCTTGTAAATGTTGTCTTTGACAACCAACTAGCCTTGATTACTTATTAGCTGAACAAGGGGGAGTATGTGCAGTAATTAATAAGACTTGCTGCACTTATATAAATGCCACCAGTCAAGTAGCAGAAGATATTAAAAAGATATATAATCAGGCTGAATAGTTTCATAATTTAGCAAAGGAATGTCCAACAACTGACTCCATTGGGCAGGCAGCAAAAGATACTCTGCCTTCCATGACTTGGTTTCTACCCTTATTAGGGCCTTTAGTATGTATATTGCTTCTACTGCTATTTTGTCAAATCTAGTTGTCAAATTTATTTCCTCTATATTACAACACTTCCACTTAAAAATGATGGCTCCAGGGATTCCAACCAGTCCCTCCAGAAATAGAAGCCTCAGATTTATACCAGTCTCCTTTTGACAGTGTCGCACGCAGCTTTCGTCTTCCACCTGCCGAAAGTCCGGAGACAACACCTCCTTCCTCCTGACAGAGAGCAAGAGGATAAGACCCTAAAACATCGCCCCTTTCAGCAGGAAGTAGATACAGAAGAGACACATTGTCCCTTTTCCTAAAAGAGTTCAGAGTCTCACACTCTTGAGGGGGGAATGATAAGGTGGGTAGATAGAAATTAGCAGGAGAAGGAGAGACCTAGTCTCTGTTAGAAAGCCCTTTGTGGCAGCTCCTACTTGGGTCAAGACCCCTTGCAGCTTGTTGCCACGCAGCTCTCCAGCCGTCTGTCCCCCCAGGCTTAACCCTAAACTGACCCTTTTGAGGACACTGCTCATCCACCTTGCGTCTCCCTGTTTGGCCCCAAAGGATGGCTGGTTAGTCAATGACAGGTAAGATTCCTCGAGGGAGGAACAACCTAAGCCAGGAACGGTCACATGGAAGCCATCAGGAGAAATCTTGGGGCTGATGGAGGTGGGCATGGGCCGTCACCTGCCCCCCAAAGAGACTGGAGGTTTTCTACTTCTGTAGCTACTTCCCTCAACCTGCTTGGAGAGTGACCTGACAATGTGATAGTATCTGTTCTCAGCATAATAATCTTATCTTCCTGGGGTCTTATGCATATAGGGTGTGTGAAGGCAGAGCCTCTGTCTTATCGCTGCTGGCGGACTGTTGGTAATAGCAGCTTGCAGGCATGGGTAATCTGGCTTGAGCAAGTTCTCAGGAATGAGACTCACAGACTGTGGAGAGAAAAAAATGCTACTTCCAGGTAGGTGGAGAAATAAAAGCGGTGTGTCGGCCCGATTCGGGGCTCTTAGTCCACGAGGCTGGGGGAGACCCTTGGCCCCACGCTCATTTAACTCTTGGCTGCTGTTTCTTTTATTTCTTAACCCTTCGCTGCCCCCTTTCGTTCTCCCACTGCCCATGTCATGCGGGACGCGACAGCAGCTGCCCTCACTTAAGACACCAATGCCTCATTGGCTTGGCAGGATTCCAGGCTTGCATATAACCCTATATCAAAGGGATGTATTTTTAGAAGTCAAAGAAGGAAGGAAGACATCCCACTTATCAGAGTATACATGCTGTTTTTCAGGACCATTTTAGTGATCTTCTCAAATAAATCATAAAAGGAAAATTAACAGAAACTACCTTGAGAAGCAAAAGGGAGGACTGGGCACCTCGGCAGGATAGAAAAAAGATAAAGAGAAGGCAGAGGGGAAGGCAATTCTACCCAAAGAAATAAAAGCCTTCATACAATGTGAGGAGAGGCCTTTCCTCCTCTTGGGATTGGTCTCCTCCACATCTTAGAGTGTATCTGCCTTTATGGATAAACTTCTTACGACCCTATACCTGCACAAAACACTGTCTCTTGACTGAACTCTTTCCCTCGAGAAGACAAAAGCCGAGGAAATCATCACAACTCATAACGGTTGCATTAAAATCCACACCATAAAAACCATGGCGGGCCGGCCGAGTGGCGCAATGGTTAAGAGCTGGCTTGGGACGCCAGAGGGCCCCGGTTCGGATCCCACATCTGAGGGCCAGTGACACTGCCCTCTACAGCTAAGATGCTGAACAACAGCTCAACCTGGACCTGGGCTGCCATGAGTCGCCAGCGACGGCGTAGGTTGCAGCCCTGTGGCAGTGGGTTGCCATGGGCTACCGTATGTAGCCAGCAGCCACAGTGAGCGGCCATCCAGAAGCCGGCGACTGATCTGCCTCACCCAGGAAGAGTGCAATGATGGTGCCAACTTGGGCCAGTGAAGCAACGTCCTCCACAACTAGACTGAAGAACAAAACGACAGCAACTTGTCTGTTCCCCTTCCCCAATTCCCCAGCACTGTTCCCATCCCCCCAATTCCCTAATAAAAACTTTAAAAAAACAAAACAAAAAATCATGGCTCCTGGTCAGCCAGGTGGCAGAGGAATAACTGGGCATTTCAGTGCCATAGCCTGCCCCCTGGGCTGGCACCACTCACACACAGAAACAAGAAGACTGACTACCAGCACACCTGCTCCCATACACATACCGCACATACTAAAATGCACAGAGTCACACACTCAGCAGACACTGACATACAGGTTAGCAGGAACTTACAGATACACACGTACACAAGACTCACAGTGGCACATTCGCATGTTCACAGATGCACAGGTACCCAGACACGAATACACAGAGACATCCCAAAACACATGTGTACACATTCCCAGAGGTATACACACACCTGGATACAAGACAAGACTTGGGCCTGCAGGCCTAAAGGAGACACACATGGACTGACTACTTGATCAGCACTTGGAAGATCCTTGCTCTCCTCCTCCATAAATCACCCTTCTCCCTCCAGTCAGAATAACTTGCCTTCCAGCAAGCCCCTTGAATAGATGCCCAGTCTTCCCTAAGCAGAGAATATCCTAGGGCAGGCAGGTCCTTGCCCTCCAGTTACAAGGGGACGCCAAGTAACTGGCTTCTGAGATCCAGGCAAGGGCCATGGACAGAAAGGAGCAGGACAAGTGCGTACTCACCAGCCTCTGCAGTTGCTGAGCGCCACGGAGGAGGCTTGGATCAGTCCGGTCAAGTCTCGGAGGCAGGTTCCAAGCAGCGCTCCACAAAGGACTCGCTCTGCCACTGCACCATGGTCCCTGGCGCCACCAAGCGGGCATTGGGCCGCAGCCACAGGTGCAAGTCTCCGCAGAAGACCGTGACATTGTAGAAGAGGCTGCCTCCAGGGTCCTCCTCGCTGCCTCCCGGGAAGCCTGAGGTCTGGACCAGGGCGGCTCTGAGGGCCCAAACCTTCTCCTGGGCTATCGCCGCCAACACCACGTGGGACACCAAGAGGTTCTGGGCGTCAGTGCGCACGGGCACGGCCAGGGTGCTCTCTACTCTGTGCCCCAAGGGCTCGCCTGCAAGGAGAAGGGGTGTTAGAGCGACAGACCAAGGAGCTCTCAGCTCCTAGGGCTCCCACCCCACTGAGTCTCGCATCCCCCAGCCCCGCCCCCACTGAAAAATGAAGGGCATTCCGCCAGGCAACCCCCATAGACTAGGCGGCACCTCCCTGGCCATTTCCGTACCCGGGAGGTGAGTTAACACAGCCAACACTACGGAGCCCCGCCGTCCTGGGACTTACCGCTCTGGGACCCTGCAAGCATTGTGCTCTGCCCCTTGCCCCGTTTCTGGGTTGGGGCTACTTGAGCTTTTCACAGTTCCCCAGGGAACAGCTGCATCAGCGCATACTCAGCTGGGTGAACCTACCTTCCTTGGCAGGACGTAGGGCCGCTCCAAAACCATTCCCGGTTGGACCCCTACACCTGCACCTCTACCCTCTAGTGGCCCCTGGGGCGGCGAGGACTCGGTAGCCCCTGGCTACCTGGAAACCTCCGTTTCCGGTTCCCGGTGAGGCCGCTGTCCGTTCCCGATCCCTGAAGGGGTAGAGCAAGGTCGTCGGAACTTCGGGGATCCTTTCCTGCGCGCCCTAACGAATCCTCAGGGCCCCCGGCTGTGCGCTGGCGCCGCCCGAGCGTCCCCGGACGGCAGCCCGAGCGTCGCCTCACCTTGGCTACCCCGACTGGTTGGAGCTGGCGCTGCGAGGTCCGCCGCGGGGCTCTCCCGGCGGTTCGTCTTATCGCTCCGCGTCCCGGGAGCCTTGAAGCCTGGCCCCGAGACTCCTGGGTACGCCGCAGGGCGCCCCCTGCGCGACCGCCCAGGCCCCAAACTTGGCCAGCGTGGTTCAGGGCAGTGCGTGCGAAGTTTGTCCAAGTTGGGCTGGAAGGCTCCTGGGGTGGGGCAGCGGGACGCGCTGAGCAGCGCCCGGCCGATGAGTGGCATGGGAGTGGGGGTCCCTCCGCACCTACCTGGGCGGCGCCGTCAACAGCAGCAGCAGCGCGGCGCTGAGCAGGAGGCGATCGGCTTCGGCTAGCGGATCCCATGCAGCACGATTGCAGCCGGGGCACGGCAATCGCAGCCGGCGCGAAAATTCGCCGCGCGCCGCCCAGCCCACTACTGGGGGCAGCAGGAGCCGTCCGCAGCCGCAGGACAGCAGGATGCGGAGCGGAGGAGGCAAGGTGCTGAGGAGAGGCGGGGAGCGCGGAAGGAAAACCGGGAGAGGAAAGGAGCGAGCGCTGGGAGGGCAGGGACAGGGGTGCCTCAGCCTGCAGTGACCCGGCTGCCGCCAATGTTCCAGGTTCGCAGCAAATCAGAGAAGAAACCCGGAGGCGGCAGCAGAAGCGCGGCCGCCAGCACAGGGAGAGCCACAGCATCCCAACCCAGAGTCCTCCTGGGGCGCCGGAGTCCCACTAGTCAGCCCGGTATTGCGATGGGCCGCCTTGCCCTCTCTCTGCGCCCTGGGCCAGGAGGGGGCACAGATCTGAGAGAGAGACCCCATAGGCCAGAGCCGTCTTTATAGGCAGGTGTACGCACTGCAGGGGCTACGCCAAAGATCAGAGAGAGGGCAAGGTTCCCTCAGTCCCCAACATCTCTCTGCCTGAAGTCCCTGCCCCCTCCATTGCAGCACGGGAGCACAGCCTCCTCTATCCTGACCTGGCCTTCCCTCTTGGAGCACAGGTTGATCGCAGCGCTCACCTGACCTGGATCCCACGTGAGCATCTAACCTCCTGGACTTTGCTCTCCCCAGGCCATGCCTGAAATAGCCTTTCTACACTCTCTCCAGCTTTTCCAACTCAGCATACCAGGCATACCTCTCTATCCTGGAGCAGGTGTGCGGTCTGAGACTATCCTCAGCTGGAATCTGTCTTCTCTAGCAAGGTCCTGAGCCTGGAGTCACTGCCCTGCCAGACCTGTTGCCCTCAACACAGTGACCCTCCTCCCCACGTGTGTGTCTGTTGGAACATCTCTGCTCTGTGTCCCAGATTCTGCCCCACTTCCCCAGAGGGTGGACACCTGTCCCTTTGGATCTTGTCATTCATGCTGCCCCAAGCCTGTGAGCCCAGGCCTTTGGGATTGGCTTTGGTCAGGCAGGGCCAGATGATTTAGACCCCTCCTTGCCTACCAGTAGGGCCTGGTCTTATGTGAAAACCCATGACTGGCACATCCCACTTTAGTGGTGGTTTCCTCTCCTGGGTCACCTCATTTTAGGTGTCAGGGCATGAGGGCACTGCAGCTTGACAGCCATCTCCACTCAGAAGCTTAGCTCTGTGTCACCTGAGAGTGCAGAGATAGGGTCCTGCACCCAGGCAAGAGGAACAGTAAAAATGGTGAAATTTCATGTAAGAATTTAGATTTCTGACTTTTCTTGAAAATTTGGAATGTGTGGCCACACTGGGCCTGCATTTCTGCTGTGAATCCTTAAATGCTCTGTAGCTTACTGTAGGTCCCCTTCCCCCAGCCCCAGCAGGCATCTCTTCTGTGAACTCTGATGACACAGCTGGTTTCAGAAAAAGGTGGATCGTGATTAGTGTATGGGAAGAGAGATGACTCCACAGCTAGCCACCCTGGAGGATTTCCCGTAAGAGGCGGCCAGGATTGAATCCTGAAAGCTGAGGTAGTCAGGCAGGCCAGAGTTGGGTCCAGCAAGGTGCTATCTTGGAATCATGACATGCTTCCACTCATTCCTCTTGTGGTTTTTGTGCTTTCATCCTCCTGAAAAGTTGATTGACACCCACTAGCAGCCTCACCGACTTGGAGGGTCATGTTCCACTACCTCACTCACTTCTTTACCAGGCTTATGGTCATTACCTCAGTCCTCCTCCCACCACCATCATTATTTCTTAATACACTACTTTATCCTGTTTAAGTTTTTAAGGGATACTGAAAATCTCTACCATAAATGAGAAGCCAACATCTCTCCATAAATCACGTAACTGCCAAAAATCAATAAAAAGAAAACAAAAATTTTTATTAAATTCTAGATACAACTACTTGCAAAAAGCACCGAGACTGACGTTGATTAGCAAGTGCTGGAACAGTGCTGAGACAGCCTCGCAGAATCAGGGCCCTTTCCTTCCAGGCAACAAGAAGGATGAAAGGAGATCCAAGAAGAAATGACTCTTGCCCTGAGAGTCATGACATTTTCTGAGGGGTCACATAACAAAATTGTTTTGCGCACTTTGTTGTCCATTTGTATGTCTTCTTTGGAGAATTGTTCAAGTCATTCGTCCATTTTTAAATCCGAATTTGCTTATTTATTTATTTTTTTGCTATTGAGTTGTAGGAATTCCTTGTATATATTGGAAATTGATTTTATTTATAAGGTATATGGTTTGCAAGTATTTTCTCCCAATCTAATGGTTGCTTTTTCATTCTGTTGTTTTCTTTACTGTACAGAAGCTTTTTAGTTTGATAGTGCTACTTGTGTATTTTTGGTTTTGTTACCTGTGTTTTTAGTACCATAACCAAGAAATCACTGCCAAGACTAACGTTATGAAGGTTTTCCCTTTGTTTATTGTAGGAGTTTTACAGTTTCAGGTCTCATATTGGAGTCTCTAATCCATTTTGAATTGATTTTTGTGTGTGGGGTAAGGTAGAGGTCCAGTGTTACATTTTTTTTGCCTGGGGATCTTCAGTTTTCCCAACACCATTTATTGAAGAAATTGTGTATGCCCAGTGTGTGCTTTAGACACCCTTGTCTAAATATCAACTGACTGTATATTTGTGGGTCTATTTCTGTGCTCTCTCTTTTGTGTGCTCTCTTTATATGTCTGTCTTTATTCCAGTGGCATACAATTTTAATGACTCTGCCTCTGTAACATATTTTGAAATCAGGAAATGTGATCCCTCCAGCTTCGTTCTTCTTTCTCAAGACCATTTTGGCTATTCTGGGTCTTTTGTGGTTCCATATGAATGTTATTTATTTTCCTATTTTTGTACAAACAAATATGATTTTGATGAGAGTAGTATGAGCATCTAGATCTCTGTGGGTAATAGGGACATTTTTTTTTTAGCTGAGCCATCCCGCCACCTGCTGGCAGCTCACGGCTGCTCAGCTCGGGCTGACTCGAACCGCTGTTGCTCAGAGCTCAAACTCTAGAGCGAGCTCTTAACCAACTGAGCCACTCAGCCGGCCCAATAGGGACATTTTAACAACAATAAGTTTTCCAGCATATGGTAACTTTGTGTTTGTCTCTTTTAATTTTATTTATAATGTTTCATAGTTTCAGTGTACAAGTTGTTCATCTCCTTGGTTAAGTTTATTCCCAGGTATTTTAATTTTTTTTCTAACTTTATTAATCTTTAATTTTAGTGAAAACAAGAAATACAGCAGAGTGAGATTTTATTTTTTCTTCTAGCACATAGAAGACAAAAGTACTAACAACCTTTGTTTAGTTTGAGAGAGCAATTCTGCAACTACTTACACAGATTGGGAAAATAAATTATTAAGTACCACTTACTACTAGGGCAAGAAATGTCAAGTAAGACGGAGTTATGTTTTTCTTCTTGAGGTTACTTTCACAAGACAGCGACAATTTGCAAAATTTCAGACTCCTCAATTCAAATTATTTCTAAGAATAGAGCTATATACTAAGAGACCAGAACAAGCTGATATATTATCAACGTCTTCAAGCTGCACAAGAAACAAATTTGATATTTTTGCACACATATTCAATTACAAGCAAAAAGCAGACCTGTAAGTGTGAATTTTGCCAGCAAGCAAAAATGAAAGAATTAATGGGATTTTACTCACAGTGAAATAAGAAGCATATACCATTAATATTCCACATATAAAGTCATTCCTAGAATAATAGAGAGAAAACACCTAGACTTGCATTTTTGTGTATAAAAATCTACTGGTGAATTCAAGGATATAGGAAAAATTGGAGGAAAAGTCTTCTCCAAGCATCCTCTTTAAACATTAACCACTTTGATTCTCCCACCTCTCCTGGGAAGAGCATTGGGGCCTCCCCTCCCACCCCTGACCCTGCAAGGATCCAGTCTTCCCTGACTGCCTTTCTAAACCCTCTCCACAGTGGGCTCATTTCTATATCTGGTCTTTCAGTTTCTCCATTGCTTTGTATCTAGACCTCCTAAGCCCTCAGGGAGCTTATGGCAGTGCCTTCAAAAAGAAAGGAGAAAGGAGAAGGGTGGATGTCACCACCACCACCATACCCCTCCATAAGTAAGACAGCTCTGACAGCACTGTGCCACCTTTTGTTTGTTTCTGAGCAGTAAGGGAGCAGGGGAGAGGGAGGAGGGAGAGGGACAGGGAGAAAAATAGACCAGAAATACATCTTCCTCAGTGCCCTCAGGTGGTTTATTGTCTAGGACTCAAAAAGACTAACTGTTGGAAGGGACCCCCTTTCCAGCTTTGCTTTGGGCACTGTCACATATGACTGCTCAACCTTCCCAACAGCCAATTGGGTTAGGGTAACCATTTGGGAAGGGAGTGGTTCCTGTGTCCTGCCTGGGGCCTTAAGTCCACCGATAGTTCCTGAGCAGGCAGGCCATAGTGACTATGTAAAGCTCATCCAAAAGGCTGAGAATAGGTTTAAGTGGGCTACAGCACAGGCTTTCATACTCACCAGTACCTGGTCACAATGCAGAGTGACCAAAGACATTAAGGAGACCAACAAAATGATAACACAGAACACATCTCATCTGTTACCTCATTCATGCCTAGTAGCAACCCGTCAGCCACCTGCTTATTTTGCCAGATAACTAGCAGGCTGGATGGCACAGATCCAGGAAATCAGTTGGGAATCAGTTAGTGGTACCCTGGAATGTCCATTTTGGGTTCATGGCTGGCATCACTTATATCAGCTTCATCTTACAGCAGTGACACTCAAAGAGCTCACCATAGAGTGCAGGGTATCAGGAGTAGAGCCAGCATAGCAGAGCCCAGGTAGTTATTTACAAAGATATATATTAAGCTTCCTTGTGGTAGATAACAACTTTTAAAACTGGGAAAAGACCATAGTCACAGAAAGAGCCCAAGGCATGCAAATAAAGTCAGTGCACATTTATGGCATCTTATGCTTGGCATTGAAGCAGTGGATGGCCATGCACTTGGAACACATAACACTTTGCAGAAAAGCACCAAGGCCCAGAGGAAGAAGAGCATAGGCATGTAAGCAACAATCCTGAAACTGACTGAAGATTTAGAAGAACCAAAGAGCAAAATAATCCAGTGTGAAGGGAAAGCAGATGAAAGATTGCATGCTGTTGGCTAAGCATAGAATCCAAGAGGAGGTCACTTACCCAGGTAAGGAAACTTGTGCAGGAGCTTCTCATAGATCAGGAGTTAGCCAGACTGGACCCTGAAGGACCTGGGGTTTTCCACTGGCTGCCTTGCTGGATCTCAAATTCCTCCGTGGGGCCCTTCACCCATCAAGTAATATTGTAGGGGATTGGGCCACAGTTCTGCTTTGATAATATCAGCAATCCTGTTGAATTCTAGGAAGCTATGGTCTAAGAACCAGTTGAAGAAACTGGTTCTTCCCAGTTTCTGTGGATATGGGACTGGGGGTCTTGACCCTGTTACCAGCTGATTGGAGTGAAAAGAGACACCACCTGGCCAGAAGATCTGCACTCATATTTCTTGATGAGCCCCTCACCTCATTTCAGAAGTAGGGGTTGCTTTG